CTCGAGAGGTCATATACGTAGTAGAAGAACAAATCAGAAAGACATACTTGACCGCTGAGGGATGGATCCACAACAGCGCCGAATATAAGATTGGCAGTTGGATCGACAAGATCATATATAACTTCCGCAGCAGCATTTACCTAGAAGGACCAAAGTGTGTAGAGTGTGTTATATAAGAGGCATGAAGCAAAATCTTTGCTTCTAAGTTGTCTATGGAAGAAAAAAAAAACAAATGATTTCTACAGCCTATCAATGCATATCTCAGCATCCAATTATTGTTTATGGATCTATTAACACTAAGATACAAAACAAAGATGAGAGAGAAAGACCTCAAACAATGTCAAGTCAGTTCCACCAGTAATGTTCCAAACGATTCCAGTGGCCCTCTCAATGCCAATATCTAACAAAGGTGATTGGATCGCATTTAGCGCAGCATCTCTTGCCCGGCTCTTTCCTGCTTGATCACCAGTAGCATGAAAGAATCAGCATGATGCAAACAAAACAAAACCACGCGTAAAAGAAGTTCATGACATATATGCACAATCGTTGAGCAACAGTAAATATGATATGGTCATTTTTAGTATCCCACTACTGGTTCTGCCACTCCAAATCTACCAAGCTCATTAGACCACTCGATACATATATACTTATATAGTGATTGTGCTTATGCAATTATGCAGCCAAAAGAGCTTATCAATCAGCCCAAGCTTACCTGTTGCAGTTCCTATTCCCATCAATGAAGAACCCGCATTTGCCATTATAGCTCTCACATCAGCAAAATCCACATTCACCAATCCAGGAATCTACAAAGCAAAGACAGAGATAGATGTTAAAGCATTTTACACACATAAAAAAAATATCACAGGAAGTCCATTAAAAAACTATACCGTAATGATATCAGATATCCCACGAACACCTTGACGAAGTATATCATCAGCTAGATTAAATGCTTCTGTTACCGGAGTAGACTGAGAGACAGCTGTAAGTAACTTGTCATTTGGAATGACGATGAGAGTGTCAACATTGTCTCTGAGAGAAGCAAGCCCTTCTTGAGCCTGGACTGCCCTTCTCCGACCCTCAAATGAGAATGGCGTTGTGGCGATACCAACTGTCAATATACCCATTGCTTTCGCAATTCCAGCTATTACAGGGGCTGCGCCAGTGCCAGTTCCACCGCCCATTCCAGCCTATAAAATGATGAAGACATTGACCAGCAATGCTCAACTATTGCCATTGGTATTACAAAAAGAACCATGATTGATTGTTACTTAACCGGGTCAATCTTTTATTGATTTAGACATATACAAGCCTCACTATTTTGGATAGATGGAGACAAGAACTAGCTAATATATAAAAGTAGAACAGACTAAAACCCTAAAAGTGGTTTGAAACCTCTATTTCTATAATCAGAGTTTATAAATAAGAAGAATGGAATGCAATACTAAAGTCAGAGATTTGAGGACATACTGTGACAAAGACCATATCTGAGCCATAAAGTGCCTCTTCAATAGCTTCTTTACTCTCTCTAGCAGCATTCATACCGATCTCAGGATTTCCTCCAGCACCTAAACCCCTTGTCAATTCCTTACCAATTTGTAACCTATTGTCTGATAAAACCGGAGACATTCTCATAGCCTGAATATCAGTATTCACGATCCAAAACTCCACGCCCAACATTTCACTCTCTATCATACGATTCACAGCGTTTGATCCACCACCTCCCACACCAATAACTTTAATCCTTGCCTCATTGTAATTGCTCGGAGCAGATGGCTCTTCAAAATCCTCAGTAACAGGCCCTACTGCGGAAGTTTCCTTTCTAGGATTGGCTATTGTATTGGTCCCTTCACCTCTAAGCATCGATATCTCAGGGTGAAGGTTCAAGAAAGGGTCTTGACTTTGGAAATGCCGTGGAGAGTTTCTGATTGGCGAAGATTCAGATTTCTGAGCAGCAACAACAACTCGGCTTTTCTTACTCTCAATCATTCTAAAGGAGTGTACCCTGCCTAAATGATTCTCCAGTGATACATTCTTTCTAAGAACAGTGAGCCACCGTGAATCGGAAGGCGTAAAACAGGGTGAAACATAAGTCGCCATATTGAGACCACAGTAGGAACCCACAAAAC